TACACCAAGTGATCTGCTACACATCATAATAAATTACATAATAAGGCGTTGCGCTCACTGTTGCAGTAATTATAAATAATCAATGGTGAAAAATTGTTAATCGCAAAAAAATACATTATCTACATTATTCAGAGACATCCAATTTCGTTACACATAACTTTTTGTAACATCAGCGTAAATAATTGGATTTAAAGTTAATATATTTTTTTAATATTTATCGAGTATGTTAAATGTTAATCGTATGCGATTGCATTTTTCTTGAGCAATGCCATGGAAAATAAAATACGCGAAGATAAATATTTATTATTGGCTCGAAATCAAAAATATTTTATTTTTATTTAGTTTTCATACTAATTAATACCAAGGAAGTTTTTGTTAAGCGCATGCAGTTCATTTTTTGTGTAATTTCTCAAAGAAATAACAGGTTAATCAATTTTTTACTTTACATTTATAAATCTATGGTTTGTTTTAAACGTTTGATGTTGTTCGAAATCATAAAACATAAATATCNAATATGTTAAATGTTAATCGTATGCGATTGTATTTTTCTTGAGCAATGCCATGGAAAATAAAATACGCGAAGATAAATATTTATTATTGGCTCGAAGTCAAAAATGTTTTATTTTTATTTAGTTTTCATACTAATTAATACCAAGGAAGTTTTTGTTAAGCGCGTGCAGTTCATTTTTTGTGTAATTTCTCAATGAAATAACAGGTTAATCAATTTTTTACTTTACATTTATAAATCTATGGTTTGTTTTAAGCGTTTGATGTTGTTCGAAATCATAAAACATAAATGTCATATAAATAAGAATTATTTTCGATCAATAAAATAATTAACAGCGTTTACGAGAATTCAGTTTTTTTTTTTTTTTTTTTAAAAAAATTCATAATGGAATAAGGTTTTTCTATTTTCGTTTGTTATGTATTATGATGACGAAATGAACTCGATGGACGACATAACCCGGAAAATAGATTTTCTTTCGTTCAGGCGTGAATGATCGCAATGTGCTAATAATAGACGATGACGCAACGGAACTAATTTGTAACACTTTCCATTTTCTTTGGGTTTTTTTTCCTATATTTATATACATATTTATTTAATATTGGCCCATTCTGTGAAGGTGCTGTATTTGAAATTTAGGTAAACCCATCCGAACACAGTGAGAATATGCAAATCATTTGTGACGACACAAAAATCTATACACAGCAGTTAAACTACTTTTTAACAGTGCGGTAAAAAAAAAAAATTGCATGCAAACACACACATGCAATTTTAAACGTATAAAAAACTATACATACGTGCTCACACATAAGTGGATATTCGTACAAAAACACAACATCCAAAGCCAAAAAATTAACGATGTCAAAACGACCGCCGTTCGGATAAACAGTTGCGGCGAGGTTATTTTTTTATCAGTACGCAGTGCGTTATTGTAATTCACCGTTGGGTTGTCGTGCCACCGCCGTCCGAACGACTCGTGTGACATTGCGGGAGTCATAAAAAATTCATCGGTCGATCCAAATTATCATCGTCAACGAGCAACACGGTCCAGATTTACTGTCATTTATGCCAATAGGTACGCGCAATCGATCAGTCGTGTCCGATGCCGATAAAACAATGTAACGCGTTTTAAACTTGTAGTCGGTGACCTAAAAATTATCACCCCGTGAATTTTTTTATCTCCTTTTATCGCCGGCCTGTGGAGTACGTAACGCATAACCGTAAATGTTTTTTGTCGCTTTTGTTATATAAACACGCGGTCCAACACATTGCGCCGGCAACGAAATATAACTCGGTCGTGGAAATCTGACGGGTTCCAATTAGTCGGCTCTAATGTCGCGCATTCGTTAACGTGTTAATAAAACACTCGGTCGACGGAGAAAAAAACGGACCATTTTTTGCATCCACTGGCGATGGCCACTCGTTCGATATTTTGTGGCGCGATTGTCGTGAGATGCCAAATCGCAATTAAAACAGTTCATTTCACGTCGTTATTAACGCGTAGAAAATTGTACCCGCAACGTTTGGTGGTCATAAATGAATCCGAACCCTAACTCGGACATGATGCCAAAATAAACGAATCGTCGTAAACCTTAGGCGCTTATGAACTCCTCTGGTTAATTCATTAAAACGTGACATTGAAATAAATAACGAGATTCGTTGGTGGAAATTATCCGTTTGCCACCCATAGCGCAACAGTATCATTTAAGATGTGCAAGCACAGCATGGCGGTGTAATTACGAGTACAAACGCACGACGGTTGTGCGGCGGACAGTTTGACAATTGCACACGCTGATGACAGAACAGCGGATACTACGCCGTTTTTCACTACGCGTCCATCAGCGATAAACGTCGTCCGGCCTTTTGCCTCGGCTAATACTGTTGTCCGTCGAGGCCGAGGAAAATGTCGAAAATCGGTTCGGCAACAGCTGTGAACACGTTGTTATCGCGGGACAAAGAAAATACGCAGGCACTCGTCGCGAATCGGAATGATTGTTATTATTACATTACACGAACGTGTCGAAACTGTGGTCGGACTCCGTACCGTCGGGCCGATTGGGCAATCGCACAAAACGTTCCCCGTGCAATCTACGGCAGTGTCACACCGCTGTCTGGGCGCGGGCAACTAACACACAGGTAGCCGATCATTAACCCGCGATGATGATACACAACAATGGCCGACATATTAACCCATTTTCGTCCGTCGCTGGCGTATTCAGTTGTCGCTTACGACGGTGTCCGGTGGGCACCGTCCAAAAACGACCGCCGTAAACGGTTCCCTAATGGATCTATAATCACGACTTGTCGCCGATGAGATAACATTTGTGGACAAATCGCCGTGTGAGAGACGAGTCGCCGAAAGAATCGTGAAACCTTTTTCGGTCACGTAGATAAGTCCTGTGACGGATAGAGACGACCCCGACCGCTAATGTTTTTTAATAACGTGTCATTCTTTGTTTACCAGTGGACGCTCGGGATGTGCTCTTCGTCGTTTCGTTATTAAAAACAATGTTCGCAATGATATCGGACGAAACGAGAATAGAAAAAAAACGTGCGGCAAAGGAGCGGCCGTGCGGAAAAAATTGAGTGTTATTGCACAACGACCTGTTGCCGAGACACAGACACAGGTAAAAATGTAGAATTTTCGTGAAGAGTTTATATGCGACCGAAAATCCGTCAAATTTGGTATTGTTCTTTGTTACAGAACGTTTTTTGTACGAGCGTACACGTTATGAAACTGAGTAGGTTTTTTTTTGGCTTCTTCACTACACTTGCGGTTTTTATTATTGTCATTATTTAGCAACGTGAACTAATCAATCATTCGTGACAAAAGAACCGCGCGAAGAATGGAGACGATAGGGAACAATGACGGCGATTGGGAAAAGTGAATTCGGATGAGAAAACTCGGTCAACGAAAATAAAAGTGCCAAGGAAATCCATCGATAGTGTGTAACGAATTTCCCTTCTTGTAACGAGAAAAAAGGAAATGTGTTTTAATGAGATTATACACCACGGCCTTATACGTAATACGAACGGGTTACACCAAGTCAACAAAATATATCAGTACTACCAATAGTCATTTGAACTAAAATTTTATTGTTTTTTTGCCATGATCATAAAATTTATGGTTTGGAGTGTTTCGTACTTATAATGAATGTAATGTATCTTCTGTTTTGATTTTGTTGAACTGTATAGATACTCTATCTAATCAAACGATACTAATCAAATTTTATTGATAATTTAAACAAATTTATCATAACGCGGGAAAAATAATTTCTCCCAGTAAATTCAGTACAATCAAGACAGTTCAAGTAAAAACTAATTCATATTTACATAAAATATTTTATGACTATTATAGTAATAATATTTTCTATAGTTTTTATAGATTAAAATTTGAAAATCAAGCTGTAAAATTAAAATTACGATTTTGCTTAATTTTGAATTTGACTCAGCCATTTTTTACTAAATTATTCTTCCAATTGCCGTTAAAACACAATTTAAGAATATTCGTAATGTCAAATGTTATGATATAATTGTTTTTTTTTTTCATTTTCTTCGTATAATATTAGTTTTCAAAAATTATTTTTTAAATGCTCTGTGTAAAATAATTAAAACTGATTTGGAATGTTTGGTGTAAGTGAATTTTAGTCTGAATTAAAATAAGCATAATGAATAAAAAATAATTTCTAGGATATTATATCTAAAAAAATACTTAATTTTAACCAAAGAATATTTCATAATAACTAATCTTTTTGGTGAATGGTTTCTAATTTTTTTTTTTGAAAATACAAAATACTTAAAATTGTTTAGTTATATTCACTAAAAAACTAATGTGCGTGATTAAAAGAAATATTTAATATTTTGTCTGTGATAAATAGCTAATGAGTAAAAGATTTTTTAGAATTATGACTAAGATTAACAAATTGAATTTATGTTGATAAAGACAATTATTTAAATAGTTTTTATTTAAAGATTTTTAAAAGCGACGGAATAAACGTATTTTTTGTTTATATTGACTGAATCTTAAGACTTTTAACAATCAAAATTGCATATAATTCATTAAGATTTTCAAATTTTTACGTTCTATAATAATGGATACTAAAAAAGGAACAATAAAAAATCAATTGATATAATATTAAATTCTGTTTAATACATTTTTTTAACTTTTATTTACTAAAGCAACAATAATGATTATTTTTATCATTTTTCTAATAACTTAATAAAGTGAAAAGTACTTTTATAAAATAATTAAATATTTTTGCTTCCAAACAAACCCAAATTAAAAATGTTTCTAATTATTTATTTAAAAGAAAAAATCAAATTATCTATTTATATGAATTATATTGTTATAATTAGGCCAAAATAAGTATATCCGCTAGATTTAATAAAATTGAAAATTATGTATAAATTATTCGTGTAGAATTACAATTAATTTTAAATGGTTGGGAAAAGGATTTAAAAAAAAGTTCCCGTGTAGTAAATATGTTCTAGTTACCTTTAAAATTATAACTAAATCAAAGTGGTAGTTATCCTGTTACAGAACACTGGACACTTACACGCGGACACAATCGGAACAGCGAATTGTCATGATCGTCACTGGTCGTGTAAATAACATTTGACGCGACACTCGTCTATATTTCTCTGAACTGATGTATTTCGCCGCCAATGACAATATTTTAATATTATTGTTATTGTCTCGTCACAACTGTTTTCGACTGTCCGATAAATTGCAATATTTTAGCGAACCATAACGACGGCAACGAAGACGACAAGAACGAACGGGTTCAATATCGTTTGTGTGTCCGAGTGTGCGTTGTTCGCGTATCGGATGCGTATGTTCCACTGCCGGCCCGGAGGACAACCCAGTTTCTCCTGGTGCGTCTTCTGCCACCGTTACCGTTTTCTAGCGTCCCCCCCACTCGACCAGGCCGGGGTACCGCACCGTACACTTTTGCTTTCTGTCGGTATGACACGCGACTCATCTCTCCCGCGCAAACACGCCGCCGCATGAGCCGCTTGGTGGCCCAGTTTATGGTGCGAAGCGGATGGTGTACGGTACACGTGGGCGGCGGAGGGGAGTGATTGCCTTAGTGCGTTCTGGAGGCGGTGCCGTTAACTGTCGAGCGGGGAGAAACGGGGCGGTGCTCGGGTCGCTAAATCGGTAACGGGTTGGCCGAGATTCGGTCAGTGGCCCTATGCGCATCGCTCTCATGCCGATCGCCGCGGGAGGGGGCGCCCTAAAACTCGAACGACGGGCGTCCCGCGTCCGTAACAGCATATACCGTTCAATTTATGCAGTCTTCGAGACCACCGCCAGACGATAATCTCTGGTGTCGCTCACATAACTTCTGTGTTATCAAACACGTCAATTCAGCCAAATTTTACCCAACCGATGGCATATTTTTTTATTTTTCTTGGAGACCATCAGCGTCTCTGACTTCCCTTTGAGCAATTCTGAGTTTCTCTACTCAAGCCTAAAAAATTCACTAGCGAACCGAACAACTATATACTGTATACTTTTGCATTTCAAAGCGGGCAGAGTGCACATTAGCAATAAGACCTGTACCCTCCCACACTGTGTACTTACTGATTGTAGTGAAATGCTTGTGACTCAATAAGTATTGACTCTAAATTTGTTATCCACTATCAATATGTCTTGTAAAAAAAGGGCTACAAAATAGTTATTTTAACATTTCACAAAAATTTATATTCTTGATTTTCTGTGTTAAAATTACCATTTTTGTGCGCATAAAAAAACAAATAAATTAATAACACTAACATTACGATGATAAACTTATAATTTATAATGTTAAATATTCATAAAATATGATGTTTGACCTAATAAAAATAATAAATAATTAATACGAACATTTAAAATTAACAAATATAATTTAAGCATTGGAGGGGAAAATCATAAAACAAAAATACTATTGAAATCTTTAGTGTAATATAAACACGCCAGAAAAATAAAAATATTTTATTATTAATCAAATAATATGAGGGACCAGTGAGAGCCGAGAATTATTATGAACAGAAATAAAAAGAATGTACATGTTCACAAAATAATATATTCTCAGCTTAGGATCAAATTTAAATTAATAATTTGGCATTCATTTTAAAAATGATTTTGTTTATTAGGTAAAACAATGGAAATTCCAACTTTCATTGAAATAATAAAATGTTTGAAAAAAAAAACTGTTATAAAACGTTAAATATTAACATAATGTTATTTCATTCTTATTGATTGGGTTTGATGACTAGAAAATACGATAATAAAAATTTAGTTATTGTCAAACAGAAAAATTTTAAAAAGAAAAACATTTTAAGTTTTTAAACATTTTTAAAGAATTATTTTAAAACTGTACTTCAGTTTCAAGACTAAATATGAAAATGCGTGTTTATATTTTATTTTAAATTATGAGCAATCATTATTTGTTTCATTTGTGTAACACAACATGTATTTTAAGATTATATTGGTTATGAATTAAATACACATAAATGTTTATTCAGTATGAATCTTTTAAATTTAGAGATATTTTTTGCGTTGCTAATAATTCAAATTTATACTAAGTTGTAATTATGGATCTATTTAAAAAATAATTAATTCACAATAACTCTAAAATATTATTCCAAGTAAAAGTCAATTATATTTTATGGATTTTGATGAACTTTTAATTTAGTACAACAGTTATCATTATCACCATAGCCTCTATTTAAGCTATTAGGAATTGGTGCCACCTTAACGATTTGACAGGATTTTATAACAGCTGTCGAACCTCAATAAAATTCATTATGTCTAAGAGAACCAGTAAGGTGGTTAGGTTTGTGTCACTATTAATGTTTTCGTATGGTCACCCGTCCGTATTAAACCGCAAACAGAACAGCTGAACATCAGGGCTAAGGTAACCCTTTTATTCAAGAGCTGATCACCACACCTCTGGCCTGATTAATTTCCTTCCTAATTTTTCCTATTAACACTTTATTGTCAGCAAATAACATGCACCTCTCCTTGTATTTCTCTAGTAATTTCTTCCATTACAATAGAAATTAAGTAAGGGCTTAAAGCATAAGTTTGATGCACTTCTACTCTTACCCTAAAACCTTCTGTTTTATAATTAATCAATTGAAATTGTTATCTTTAATTTGTACTTTTTTAAATTTATCTAAATTTGTCTTTTTTTGTAACTTTTGCTTTTAGTTAACAAAGTTACAGTGTGCAGCTCTAGAGTATTATAATAACATCTAATGTTTGCAATATTTTCAATTTAGAAAAGTAATTTTTGATTACGATAATTTTTGGGGAAAAAATGTTTATGTTCTAACATATATTAACATATTATTGTTTTAAATTTTTCTATAAAACATTCAGTATCACAAGATAATTTTAATAATAAACTAACATACTTAGTTAAAAAAAAAAATGATATTTTTTATTAATAAAGAAAAATAAATAATACGCCTTTCTAATAGTCCAGAACTGTAAAAAATATTCACGCAAAATATTTGTATGATGTAAGTTTTCTTTAGATGTAAAAATTTTGTGAGAGACTCTATGTATTAGATAATCTATTTATACATTTTACATTTTATTTGACTATTAAATAACTTACACAAGGGATTTTTCCCTTGTTTAAGTTTATAAAATTATCTGGTGAGAAGGCTAAGAAAAATTGGTCACAATCGAAAAAATATTTAGTAGTAAAACACAATAAAAGTTTTTTTTGGTTATTATTTATTTCCATAAGATCAAAAAAACTAAAAGATAAAAAACTACAGTTTTTTGAAACATTATATTACATATTAAACTTTGTATTTTTATAAATGTTCAAATATTAAATAAAACAACTATTGAAATAATTGACCAAAAATTAATTTGTTTTGTTAAAAATTAAAATCTATAAAAACTTTTTTAGTTGTTCTATGTACATCATAATTTGAATTAAGTTTACATGAATCAATATAATACACAGAAGTCTTAATATTATACTCTTCAAATAAATTTTCTAAATGCATTAAATACGATTTGATAATGTCAATATTTTGCATTAATTCTTCCTTAATTTCTTCTTTAATTTTATCTGAATTTCTATTATCTAGTATTTCATTGTAATCTATTAGAACAAATTTTGGCGACAGACTTTTCATAATTCTTTCAATATCTGTAATTGAATTCTGAAGTGTCATATTTATACCTTTTACAACTTGTGGTCTTTTAACGGAATCTTTTAAAACTACTATCACTTCTTGCCTGTTAAATAGTGTTTTAAAGAAATCATCATTTAAAATATATTTATTCATATCATTAATTTCTGTATTGGTATTTCCAAAAAATGTATGTTTTAATTTCCAATATTTAGAAGCATAAATTATGTGCTTTCTTATAAAATGTAATGCTACTGTTCTTATCACGTTTAACATTTGTTCTTGATATTTTCGTATTTGAATTATCCAAAGATCTAGATGGTAATAATTCGTTGCTTCATAAAAACTTTTGTTGAGCACTTGATATATTTTGTTAAAAACTTCTTCACTTTGACCACCAAAATTCATAATTATGTTTCTCAATATATTTTCATTCTTTATTTTATATAAGCAAATACTTTCTAAGGAAACCCAATTTTTTTCTTTATCATTTTCAAATAGAATACCATTATTATGTTCTTGTATTTGGCTTATCAATACTTCGAAATCTTCCAAATTTACACCATCGTCAGGATTCACTATCATACTATTCTTGTTATCTTTTCTACAATATATATTAATAGAAGAATTTAATATGGATATGATTTCATTTATTATTAAATAATTGTTATTCATATTAATTGAATTTTTACGGCACATTGAACTATGCAACAAAAACATATGTACTAGCCAGAACGGTCTTACATAAAATTTCTTATTTATTTTGATAAGTGAAGCTAACATGTGGCTGGTAATTTTTTCGCTTAAATGACATTCAATTACATTTGTGCAGTTTGTTAAATAATTATGAAGTAAAATCATATTGCCACAAACCAAGTCACAGTATATGAAATCAACGGTTTTTTGTATAACATTGTTACTTATTAATTTATCAGTGAAAGATAATATCTTTTTTACATCATTAAATTTTAATTTTTGTATATTATCCAGCAGCGAATAATCAAGTCCAGTTTTCAGTTTGATTGCTTGTTTAATATTTAAATGTTCACTCGGAATATTTGTTGAATGACACGTATTAACTTGCATAGCATGCCAAATAATCGTAACTACAATGTTGATAAAAAGATTAAAAATCATTTTTCACTACTTTAGTTTGCAATTGTTAAATAAATGATAATTCATGCAAAATGAAAACTTTTTAACTACTTGATTAATATTGTGTATCGTTTTTGATATGTTAATTTTCCTAAAAAGTAGGTTATGACAATATATTTAAATGTTTATAAATTTATGATAATCATTGTTAGGGACTATTTTTATAGTTTACTTATTATTTTGAAAAATAGTCTAAATCTAATACTAAACTGAATAAATATTAACGCAATAATATTTACAGTGGTAAAAACTATGGCAAGAAATGCTTTGATGAAAATTTATAGATAGTGTATAATTCTAAAAATTGATCGATAATTATAACTACGTTAAACTCATATGTTATTAATTATATATAATGTAATAAAAGTAACCCTAAATAATATTAATCCTAAGAAATCAAATGAGCTTTAACACTCAAACCTAACTCAAACCAACATAATTAGTTAGCTATGTTATACTTTAGTCACTAACTAATTAAAAAGAGAGAAAAAAAATTAATCTACTTATATATAACTCATATAAATCCTTATACATGTTATATTTCGAACCCATTAATGAATATTTTTGGAAATGTTATGGACATATTTGTTCAGGCGCGGACTGGGACCAAT